ACTCAATTTCCTGCCCACTCTTATCTGGGAAAACTGAAACTCAGCATAAGGTTATAAAGGCGACAGTTTATCTCGCTTTTCCTGCCCGAGGGCCTCAGGAAACCGTCCCGGAGACAGGCTTGCTGCTGTCCAGACAGAGAGGGCAAATGCCTGATTTACAGGCCTCCTCCTTCTTGCATTTCCTTTCAGTATCTTTTCCTCTTTTCCAAGGGTTCAATGCACTCATTAGGGCTCCCGAATGTTCAGTCTTCTCCCCACAAACACTTAATGTTTGACCTTTTTACACACCTACCCCCAAATAGAATTTTAAAATATGGCACAACTCACAGTGAATGCAATCACTGTACACTGCTAACATGTGCTAATAAAAAATTGATAAATGCATACTAAAAATACAAGTTCCTTTTCAACAATTAGAGATTTTCTTGTATTCCTTTATCTCATTAAATATTTATTCCCATTCTACTTCCTGCATGGGATATCCTCCTAATAGAAAATGGTTTGTATGCTTCGCAGTTTTTATCATATTTTATACAATAAAAACATATATAGAGAAATTATTTTTACCTCTTCTGATGATAGGCAGTATTAAAAGCTAAATTATACAAACATTATTCATTCATAACTAATTTAAAAGAAAAAAATCAGGCCGGGGATTTAGCTCAGTGGTTTTGCTGCCTGCTACGCAAGCACAAGGACCCAAGTTCGATCCCCAGTACCAAAAAGAAAAAAGAAAAAATATATTTGATGAATATGAAAAAGAATAAAACTATTATAAATGCATTTTTCAATAAGATTTAAGAAGTTTTAAAAAATTAGTTCAGCCAGGGATTTAGCTCAGTGGTTTCGCCGCCTGCTGCGCAAGCACAAGGACCCAAGTTCCATCCCTGGTACAAAATTAAAAAAATTAGTTCGCGGATGAATGTTATTTATAGTTAGGAAAAACAGTATTCCACAAAATGCATACAGAGAAGAGAGGAACTGCGGTTAGATATAAATAGAACCAAACAGAGCTTCCGTGTAGTTATTTGAGCTTATTCTCAGGTCCTGCATTGAGAACTGCACAGCGATCTCTCAAAGCCATTTCTGTGTCACCCAGCTGTCTCCACTTGATTCTTTCCTTCTGTTTTGCTGGAAGTAGAGTTGGAAACCATCCATCTTGGCAAAGGCTTTGTTACTCAGTTGTTAGAGTCATTCACTGTGTTTCTAGAGAGCTTATGAAAAGCTTTACCGAAACTTATCAAATGGCTACTGATGAAATCCGTTTCCCCTGGAGTAAAGGTCAACACCGCGAGCTCTGAAGGGATTGAGAAAGATGAAATATTGTCTTCCAAAGCATTTTCAGTAAAATGCAAATTGATACACATTAAAAGGTCGTCTCGTGTACTTTTGGTGCTTTTTGGTCAAAGCCTGGAGCAGTCAGGTTCTCCCCAGAAGGACAGATAGTGCCCATCATGTAACCCGTTTCGCCAGTCCTCAGCATCACACCAGGCCTCCTGCCAGGGTTCTCCTAACTTCACGTTCCAGCGCAATAAACTTGCAAACACACGTGTCTCTTCAAGCTCGCTCCTGCACTGAATTCCAAGGTAGAGCATGGAACCGAGCCTTAGCTTGGGTGTCTCCTTACAACAGATCAGAACATGTCATGTCTACTGCTCCTCCCAGACGACCCTTTCCTCACCTCTCAAGGGACTCTCCACGGAGAAGCAGTCCATGCGAGGCCACGTCCTTGCGCTTTCATTCTGAGCAGGGCCCTTGCTGGAGTTGCATTTCTCCCAGAATTCCCCGCACAGGCAGCTCCTGAGGGCGCACCCTGCCCTGCCTGCAGAGCTGCTGCAGTGCAAGTCTGGGACATGGATTGCACAACCCTGTTCTGACGCCAGGACAGGATCTGCCTTCTTTCAGATTCCCTGAAACCAGGCTGCTTATGAGAAACTCTGTATTTCAAGAGGTCCTTCCGGAATGAACTATTTTCAGAGTCAGGTTTGCTGGTCTGCAAGTATTTTTCGTGTTCTTCGAGATAAAAGTGAGTGTCAGCCTTCAAGTAAACATTTGCCGCAGACGTGGGTACAGAGGGTGAGGCCTCGTGCACGCTGAAATATTTCCTCAAGTCGTAGAATACTCATATCATCCTGTTTCCCCCTGTGGTCTTGTCTGCATTTAAATAACTGGAGTTCACCTCTGCCACAGGGAGGAGCAGGGGGCCAGGAAGGGGACAGAAACAGGAGGGAGGGGCTGCCTGCAGTAATCACTGTGAAGAGAAAAAGACGAACCATTTTTATAAGGCTTTAAAGCCCAGGTCCTCGAGTCACAGAGCTTGTCAAACCTGCTGATGAACATCTGACCTCATCTGGCACTGAATCCAGGTGCCTGATGAAAGCACAAAGGAGTTTTGGGATTACTTATGAGAAAGCCTAACCTTGGAACCTTTGCCAGAGTACACAGTCAGTGACCAGAGAACTAAAACTTTTGCAATGGTGTCGGTAATTCGGCAGGAAGCAGATGGATGAAACTGACACCTCATGTACAGGAAGAATGGTCAGCTGCTCTGGGTGTTGACAGCGTTGTGTAGAGAGAAAGCATCTAGAAAAGTCGAATTCCTTGTGTGTCTAGCTAGCAGAGGCCTTCCAGTAAGGTATTTTAGCATTTAAAATTAAGGCTCTAGTTTACTCTACAAAGCCACAAAATTAAACCTTTAAAACTGTTTGGGATTCCCAGGTGGGTAAGGGCGCAGACGAGGCAGGACCAGAAAAGAGGACTTCGTGTCTCAGGATTACAGCATTTCCGTTTGTTATATCCCCTCTAGGTCTTTCCTTCCCTCTACTTTTCTTTGCTTGCTTACTCAGTGCCTTAGATACTCTTACAAGAAGCAACGTCCACGTTTGGTTGGCTGATTCCTGGTCCTTAAAAACATTTTTAATTCCTTCCATGCACCTGCTGTTGTGTCCAAGTCTATACATGAGCTGTAGCATTGTTTCCATGTTTCTTTCTCCTCTGCTCAAACATGACTGACTTTAGAGTGAGTGTTAGCTACTGAACCATGACACCCACGTGACCCACGTCTAGGTGTGGAGCGCCAGCACAGGCGTGTGGAAGGTGTGTCCCCTCTGACAGGGAGGTGTCAGCAAACTCAGCACTGAGGTGACACCACAGACGGGACAAGGGCCATGTCAGGTCTTGTCGCCACTGGACAAGACGACGGACTTCTTTCTCCCCACTTCTCAGCCCCTTCAAACTCTAGCCTGCAGAGAAATGAAATACTTAAAATTAACCTAAAAATAAATTCCTCACCACTTCAAAGATTTTTAAGTCTGGGAGAATCCTTACATTCTTTTCCTAATAAGAACCAAGATTTTATAGCAGCGCTACCTGCATGAGGAAGCCAAAGATTAAAAAAAAATTAAGAATGTTAATAAATATGTAATGATGGATAACCTCATATAAAATAATATTGTGTGGTGAGCATGACAGACCTATTGAGCTCTGACAGTACCCCCACTAAGTGCTGTGGGTGGAAGCTTGGGGTAGAAATTGGAATTTTCCTTAAGAATAAATGTGTGCATTGATGTTATTTCTGGAATTCCGTGACTGCTTCCGTTCCAAAGACTTTCACTGGTCACTGTCTCTGGAACACTTTCTCCTGTGTTGTTTTTCCCATCCCTTAATCTACCTCAGTGAATGATGGCTTCTGGCATAAACAGTTCTTTGTAAATGATTTGCTTCCTTGAAATTTAACCACCTATAGGTTGAATGATTCTTACAGGAACTTACACTGAAGCTCTTGGTATAAACACGTTCCTTATTTTTGTTATTGTATATTTGTACATAATACATGGGGAAGTCTTGTCTCTTGGTATTAATGATGCAAGATGAGATTTGCTATATCTAAGGGTTCTGTGGGGTAGACAGACTTGATAGTAAGAACATTGTTTGGTGTTATCATTCAGACAGAGATTAGTACAAATTTCCTCAAGTACAGCACACGCACTACTGATTTTAGGTGACATGTTGAAATTTTACCTTTAGGTATCTGACTTGTATGCTTAGGTTAATGTGAATTAAAAATACAATTACCTCATAAAACCTCTGATTTTATGACTATTATTGCTTAGGAAGATGCTAAGTAAAAAGAAATCAAGCTAATTTAACATTGATTTTTAAGGAATCAAATACTGTTATAGGTAATATGCAAAAATAGCAAAAAATGTGAAGGTGGCATCTAAAAGGCAAAGTTCTGCTGCACTAACACACTGAGGAGTGGATATTGTCTAAGCTGATGCAATGTCTTTGCACTTCACCGGTCCTGGGTTTCAGAGCTCAACTGATAATACCATTTGTAGATCTACATAATATTAGCTAGATAAACAAGTGCTTCATCAAACTCCAGCCAGATCTGCAGTGCTTCACATCTCCTTATGAATTGACATAGAACTGAAGTGACACAGAAGATGGCCAATATTCTTAAAGATATAATCACAGAGCAGGTGAATTATCCCAGGATAGCACTAGCGTCCATTCTGATGTCCTGAATTAGGGGGTGGGGACCTCAAACACCTTCAAGACCCATTATGTATCAGGATTTGTGCCAATGGTCATTTCAAAGTGGCCATACTTGGTCATTCCATTTCTAGGAATCCATCACGGAAAGAAAATAATTCTAAACAGGAGAAAAATATCACATAGATGTTTGTCACGAAGGTATTTATAATAACTGCAAGCACTTTAACAAAGGAGAAAGTTCAAGCAGATTATAGCCCGCTCACAAAACATGTTGAAGTGAAGAACAGCAGTACTGACACTGGAAAAGCTAAGTGAAAAACAGGTTTAGTATCAATCACTGTACTTAAAACTTGTTCGCCAGGCATGATGGCACACACCTCTAATCCCAGCATTCTGGGAGGCTAAGGCAGGAGAATGGCAGGTTTGAGCCCAGCCTGGGAAACTTAGTGACTTAGAATCTCAAAATAAAAATATTTTTAAAAGGGATGGGGCTCAGAGCAAAGGCCCTGGGTTCAATCCCCAGCACAACAAAACAAAACAAAAACTTGTTACCACATACATAAAATGGTATCCATATAAATTCGGTGTTTTAAGAGTGGCTAGAGTGCTAAGCTGATGTTCTCTCTTTCTCTACTTATCTATTGGATGATATTCTTACACTAGGAGTTTATAAAACATAGTTATGTATTACTTTTGTGAAAAAGTTAATAGAATGCATCACATAAAACTATGTTGCTGTGCAGAACTATGACTGTGCCGACTCTGGGGGACCCTCGATCCTGTCCCTTTACCTGGCACACAACGGTCAGGCGAGAGAAAGAGGAGGCGACCTAGCCTCGGGCCGTGACCGCAGGTGCGGGAGTCGCAGCCACGGGAGGAAGCGAGGGTGAACACTACAGTGCACACCAGCCCCCCGCGCGTTTGCGCTGGGTCTGGAGTATCTGTGCACGCAGGGTGAGCTCTCTGGGGACGGCCCCGTCTCACCACGGAAGCTTTACCCGCGCCGCGTGCCCCGTGTGCGCAGCGGGAGAAACCGTGCCGCCGCTTCCGGGGCGGTGACATCTGCGGCCCCTGCAAGGGAGGCAGGTGTGGATTTCCCGTGGGAGGCACCGGTCAGCGCTCAGCGGGCCTCGACGCTGGACATTCCGGACTGGGGATTTTCGGACTAGGACGCTCAGCCTGCAGTGAGTTTTCTTGTGTTAACTCTCCCACAGCTGGGCTGCAGTCCACTTTCAGTCTGAAGGCAAACAAAGGCGGGGAGGAATGGAAACGCTACCGGCGTCGCTGCTTCCTGTCCTCAAGGCTTGGTGCCCGCGCGAGCCGCCCGCACGCCTCGTGGCTACCGCGTCCCCACGCGCGGGCACCGACACCCGCGAATGCCAAGAACAGCCGGCAGCGCCCGTCTGTCTGTCTTTATTGAGGGTCCGACTCTGTCCCACTTCCTTCCTGCTAGTGTGCACCGTGCAGCCGCGCCCTTCCGGGGCCAGAGCCGGGCCCGCTGGACCCTGGGTGTTTGCGCGCCGGCTCCGGCTCCGCCCCGCGCTCCGCCCCCGCCCGCTCTCCGAGCTGCAGCGCCCGCCTCTCCTGTCCGCCCGCGTGGGCCTGGGCCGCGCTCCCTCTGACTCGGGCTCCGCACCCAGCTCCTCCGCATTCTCCTGCGGTTTCTCCACGTTCCTTTCTTTCTTGTACTGGGGCTGCTGCCCACCAAGGTGCATGCCGCCTCCTTTTACTTTTTCTTTTGTGACAGGGTCTCGATACATTGCCCAGGCTGGCCTCGAACCCGCAATCTTCCTGCCTCGGCCTTCGGAGTAGCTGATTCCAGGTGTGCGCCACCACCTGGGCGGCTTTCTTTTTCTGCCCCCTTCCACTGCCCGCTGCACACGTCCTTGGCCTCTCTGCTCACCTGGGCCGGGCCTGGGAGCTGCTCCTGCACCCAGAGCAGACCCCCGCGCCCCGGATCCGAACCCGCACCCGAGCGTCTTCAGAGCCAGGCTCCCTGCTCACACTGCCCGCGGCCTCAGGGCACGCGCGGTCCGGCCGAGCGTGCACTCCCCGCTTTCCCACACTGCCGCCCGCCTGGAGGCCCCAGGGCCGAACCCCGGGTCCCGTGCTCTGCCTGATCCGTCTCCAACCCGCACGCCTCTCGCCCGCCCCGCCGCGCCTGGCCTTCCTGCGGGCCGCACGTCCCCGCTCGGGTTCCCGGCTCCCTGGTCCGGCTGCACGCCTCAGACCTCCTTCCCACCCGTGTTCTCAGCCCCCGGGCCTCTCCTTCCTGGGGTGGCCTCTGGCTTCAAGATACAGCGTAAGCATCACTTCCCGGGGGAACTTGATCTGAACACTGCTCTCGGCCAAGGTGAACGGCCACTTCATCCTGCCCAGCTCGCACTTCCTAGGCCTCACAGCATTCCCCAGCACCCACACTTTTATTATGTTTGTTTGTTTTTGAGGCAGAATCTCACTATGTAATCCAGCCTGGCTTGAACTCATGGTGAACCTCCTGCCTCAGCCTCCTAAGTGCTGGGCTTACAGGTGTGTGCCACCATGCCCGGCTGCCCCAGAACTTAATGGGACGAACGTGATGATTTCTTCCTTGTCTCTGTGTATGTTTCTTTCTGAGGACCAGTCTGTATCTGTCATCTCTGGACTCCTGTGCATGGCACATTGTAGGTGGTCGATACAGATTTGCTAAATAGCTAAGATTTCACCACCTTCTACTCTTCTGCCCTATTTCTTTTCTTTAAAGGAGACTGACCACTGTTAAAACTCCCTAGCTCATTTAACATCATCTAGCAGCTGCTGGATCAATTTCTCATGGTCTCTTACTATTTTTAAGAAATCTCTCTTTTCATGGTCACTAACTACAATCCTGGCTTCCATATCTGATATTCTGTCTTCACATTAAGGCCATACTGTTAAGTGAAATAAATAGGACACACGTGTAAATACCGAATAGCTTCTCTAGTGTGAGAAACTGAAAGTGTAAATAAGGGCTAAAAGGTATAATAGATAATGTGAAATAGGAAGAAAAGGGGCAAAGGGGAGGGGAAAGGGGGAGGGAGAGGGGAAAGGAAAGAAGGGAATGGAATTAATATGAGAAAATGAAAAACTGGAAACAAAGTCTTCATAAATAGGGAGGGATCGAGGGGTTGAAGGGAGGGCAGGGGAAGGGGGAAAAATAAGAACCAAGATGCATCATGTGAAGGTACAAATCCCCAGCGATGAATGTCATCATATTGTATACCTAAAATGTACCAATTAACTTAATGAATAGTAATTTTTAAAACTCCCTAGCTCACGAAGGAAATCATCCTTCCCAAGGGCTAAGTTGAGGGCCGGGGATTTAGCCCAGTGGTTTCCCTGCCTGCTGCGCAAGCACAAGGACCTGAGTTTGATCCCCGGTACCAAAAAATAAAAAAATTTTTAAAAAACCAAGGGCTAAGTTAAAGAAAAAATTCATAAATTTATCGATGCAATTCTTTTTTTTTTTTGGCACCAGGGATCCAATTCGGGTCCTTGTGCTTGTGGGCAGGCGCCGGAACCACTGCGCTAAATCCCCAGCCCTGTCATGGAGTTCTTAAAGCAGCGGACATGGAGATCCATGGGGACTGGGCCTGCCGAGGTGGCTCGTGCCAGAGTCAGGACTAGAGCCAGGCCTCCTGAGCTGGGGAGTGGAGCCAGCCTGGCCTGGGATTCCGGCCTGGAGGTTACCGAGTAGGCAGGACCTACTGAGAGGTCCGAAAGACAAGGCAGCGGCCTTCCCCACCCTCTGTCCCCCCAGGCTCCATGGTGACAGCTAATGCTGTGGTCACCTCTGACCACGGAGGACATGTTGAAAGACGTGTGGACAGTGCCAAACCCGTTTGTAGTACTTTTCCTCTGCAAACTATGTGGTTAAGTTTCCTTAGAAATCGGGCCCTTTAGGAGCACGACAGTCACAGAGCAGTGGCAAGAGGACACGGTCACACCACGTGGATGTGGCCGGGCGCCCACGGTCCTGTGCCTTCTGAGGGCCAAGGCAAGGCCGGGCGGCGCGGTGACGCAGCGCCAGCGCACAGCAGGGCCCACAGACAGCGACCCTGAAGGACAGGCGGGCAGGCTGTGGAGCTCGGCCTCGTGGGGCGCATGGCAACTATGACACAAAGTATGTGCAAGACTTGTGCGACTTAGAACTGAGCAGTGCAGCCCGGCTCAGAACCGGCGCGCTGGGTCTGCTGGAGGTGCCGCCCTCCTGCACGCTAGAGCTCACAGCGCGTGACCGGGAGTCACAGTGAGACAGGCCGTGTGCCGAGGGCCCAGCAGCTCCGTGGCTCCCGCAGAGCCGCGCCCCTGTCTGTCTGGTCTCGCAGGGCGGGAAGAGTTGGGGGCGCCTCCCACGGGCGCCCCGCAGGCCCGGGCTCGCTCTCAGCACCCCCCGCGCAGCGCTGGGGCCTGGAGCCGCTACCTGAAGGCGGCCGCGTGGGGTGCGGAGGATGCCACCCTAGTGGGCCCATCTCCGGAGCGGGAGAAGAGGCCTCTGAAGTGCCAGGGCCGGGCTGTGACTGTCTCCCGTGCCCGGCACCTGGACCTCATCCGAGGGCCGCCCGGGCGGGTGGGAAGGGAGCCTTGCAGACTCACAGTCGGCCTAGGCTGGAGCAGAGGGCCTCGAGAGACTGCTGGGCCTGGGGCACGGCAGGGAGGAGGAGCCAGCGCCTCTCGGCCAGGACAGCCTGACGTGACTGCCTCTAATATCCGAAAGCAAGGGCCACTGGCACGGACACCTGGAAGGGCGCTCATCTGCTCTGCTTCTCGCTGGCACCGTGGAAGTCGGTACAGGACCCCTCAGCGAGCTGACCCAGAACTACCGCCCCAGCAGAACTCGGGGCACCTGCATGCTCATGCGCATTGTGCCACAGGTCACAGCCGCTGAGACACGGGGCCGGCCGAGGCACCCATCTGTGGATGAACGGATGAAGAAAATGTGGCATAGCAGCCACAAAGAGGAAAGAAATGACGACATGGCCGGAAAATGGGCGGGCCTGGAGAGCATCGAGTGAGGTGACGTGAGCCAGACTCAGAAAGACAAGTGCGACATCGTTTAGCTGATAGTGAGATCAGAAAAAGCCCGTGGGAGGAGCAAGACTATTCAAGAGGAAGGTAGCAAAGGGAGGGGGACAGGGCTGTGGGAGAACGGACGATCGAAACTGTTATATGCATGAATGAAAACGCCACGTTGAAACCAATGTTCTGTAAGATTGGTATGCACTGATAAAATATATTTTTAAAAGGAGTAGTAACAGAAGTTCAAGTAGAAACGATTCTTTTAAAGAACTTTACTAAAATGGCACTAATGCTGGTGAAAGTGAAATCAAGACTTTTCTTCAAGATGAAAGAAAGAAGGGTGTGTTTGCAAATGTACGGAAATGAGCTAAGGGAGGACAAGTTCATGAAGTAAGAGAGAAAGGAGAGAAGAAGTGCAGTAATGTCGCCTGTCTTACTCCCTGCCCACGTCACTGAGACACAGCACCCAACACCCGCCGCTCAAAGGAGGAGAGGTCTACTGTGGCTCCCAGTTTGTAGAGGACTCGGTCCACGGTAGGTGGAAGGGCCTGGAGGTGGAAAGCCACTCCCATCATTGTGGCCCGGAAGTGGGGTGGGAAGGGGGGAGCCGGGAGGGAGGCTAGTCCTGCTAGGCCGCACCTCAGGTGACTCTCTCTTCCCCTGATGAGTATAGCACCCCATGGTACATCATCCAGCCCCGTTCCAACACCCCACCTCGCTCACAGAAATCTTTTAGGGAGCACTGGTTGTAAACCATAGCATCCTCAAGCAAAGAGCAGTCTGGAGTTGCTGCACAGAGGGAGAGCTTGGTTTTAGAAGGGAGCGGGTAGGAAGGCAGCGTGGGTCCATCTGCTGTTGGGCGGGGTGAAGTGATGAGAGGGTGTGGTGTCCTCTCCTGGTTGCTGAGAACAATGGTAGAGCAGTATCTAGGAGCGGTCCTAATTGCCCAGGAAGCTAGGAAGACCTCACCCATGTACTCTGGAAGCCATACCCGTTTGTGCCTCTGACCGCCCCAGCGCTGAGGAGGTGAGCCACGTAGACACCAGCGGTGCACATACACACACACACACACACGCACACACACCCTGCTGAAATGAGAAGACACACAAACAAGTCTCAAAACCAGACTTCCACATCACCTACAGCA